TGATTTTGAACAGAAGGGTTCAGCTGCCTTGATTCAGGTTTTAGATGCTCTTGGAGGCAGCGGATCAAAATCACTAGTACTTGGTTCTTGTAAAGAACGAGGGGTCGGTGACCTAAAGTACGCTTCCTCAAGCGTTTTGCAACGGCAGCCCCGCTGCACTTGGTAGCAGTTGTAGTCAATCTACACCTGAGTCGTTTTGACTGATCCGCTGTGAGAATGGAGAAATTTCCTCTTTGCCCCAGGGCATGCAGGACGGGCTTAATAAGCTGATGTCCTTGCTTGGCCCTGAGAACGTCCAACACCTTGTTGCACAAGGCCTCGATGCAATCGGCGCGCGTCTAGAGGCGCTTCCGAATTACGAATACGCGCTGCTAGAGCACCTGCATCGTTTGCGTCTATGACGCCGCAGTCGGTGACGAATGATTTCCTCCGACCTAAGCCGCTCATGGTGAGCGCTAAGGTCCCTGAGAGAAAGGATGGAGAGAATCTCCTTATCTGGGTGAGAGAGGTGGAGATGTCCATCGCATACGCCATGCTCCAAACCGAGCAACAGCGCGCGGCGCTAGCCATCCCCAAGCTCGGTTGGACGAGCGCGAGAATGGTCACTGACATACGGCACTTTGGTTGAAGCTGCATTTCTCTCCTGGGCAGAGCTGAAATTACAGCTCTCCCGAGTGTTTTCGCCGCCTAATCAGGCGTATCACGTACGATCGCGTTTCCTTGCCGCCCGACAGGGCAACAAGGGATTGGTGGACTTTGTCCAAAAGATGCGAACTCTCATTGCCGGGATGACAGCAGATCCCTACCCGGAGGCGGTCACAGTAACCGTCTTTATGGAAGGCCTCCGCACTGGCGTGGCCAGAATGGAAGTCTTCCGTGTGCATCCATCTTCATTTATAGGGGTAAAGGATGTGGCATTGAATGCCAAATTCAATTTCAAGTCGGCACGACTTGGTTGGAATGCACACTCCAACAACTCGAGCGGGCCTATGCCCATGAATCTCAGCTACGCTGAGGACGAGGGAACAGAGCTCCGAGCTGCAGGGCAGCATGCAAACACGCGCCGGTGTTTTGTCTGTGGAGACACCCGTCACCTGCGGAACCCCTGCGCAAGTCGCGCCAAGGTTCTTCGAACCATCGCCCCAATGCCTACCAGTCTGGTTCGTCGCTGGGAAACGACACCACTCAGTAGGCGCGGGGCGATCTACTTGAGAAGAAGTGAGTTCTGTTGAGCCTCAGACCAGCATAAGCTAACAAGGCTTAGCCTCGAAGAGCCCCGTGCTCTTGAACACGGAATGTGTATGCAAGCCGGGCTTGTTGATCGTGGAGGCGACCGTAAAGGGCTTCGAAAAGCCATGGAAGATCGTCATCGATTCTGGGGCGTGGACAATTATGCTCGACGCTCCACAATGGAGGGAAGTCAGCTGTATGCTGAGGTGCTTAAAGCGCGGTTGGGTACATCGTCACTGTTCGCGTAGCGACGGGGACATGTGTCACGGTCCCGAAGGCCCCTGTGGACCTCGTTGTCAAGTTTCGTGACTTTGATAGCGTGGAACGCTGTCTAGTCTTAGACTTGGAGCAAGGTATGACGTTATCCTAGGAATGACATGTAGGAACACCATGAGCATTTAATTGGTTGGAGGTCAAAGACCTTGGGCGCTACGCGCACGTCTCCTGGTGGAGGTTTGGCGAGTCATGAACCCACCTCTGCCAGGAGACAAAAGCGCAATTGGTGAGAGAACTAGACCGAGACGGTCAACGTGCTAGACATTCGAGTTAAAGCGTCAAAGTTGGTAGACACCAACAGTGCATTGGACAGGACCCCCCGAGCGTGGCTCGCGGCTGATCGCTGTGTGGCACGTAAAAGACTGAGTGATGCTCAAGTTTCGGAGCAGTCGCTGCATGTCATGCGTGATATGATCGGTCGAGGGCGAGGCTCATGTGATGCACGTGAAGTGGCACGCAAACCACCGAGTGCTGCACAAGTTTTCCAGCAGTCGCTGCATGTCAAGCATGACATGCAGCGACCAAGGGCCGAGGCATCGGGGGCGAGGCCTACGTGATACGTGTGGAGTGTCACAAAAGCCATTGAGCACTGCTCTCGTTGCGAAGCAGTCGCTGCATGCCATTGATGGCGTGGTTGGATAGAATCCGAGGTATCTTGGTCACGGCCCTTCAGATGCGCGTGGAGTGGCATGTTATCCACTGGACGAAGACTGCGGGGTTAGCAG